GTTGACTTCCCGACAATTATCCCAATATCATTTATTATATCTTCGAATAAGTTTACATAATTAATCTAATGATTCTTATACTATATCACAAATGCTAATATTTTTTCATGAATTTAGTTAAATTCAAAATTATTTTACGATAATGCTGGCCCACGGACCTCCGTCCCTTCTGGATGCGGCTCATCCTCGTCCACTCATCCGCTCTCTCTCAGAAAACAACACGCACGCACAGCGATGCTGTCCCGAAATTCCACAAATCGACCTCGAGCTAGCCCATTTGCCCACCTGCCTCTCTCCACTTCCTCTTCCTCTCCCTCCATCCAACTCCACTGCTCCGCTCCGCTCAGCCTCGGCGTGCGGTGCTCACTGCGGCTCGGTCCGGCGGAAGGACAACATGTCGCCCTCGTCATCGCCGCCGCCGGCGAGCGATCGAGGAGAAGCAGGAGGCGGCAACCATTAGGCACTGCAAGGGCGTCAACAACCTTGACAAGGTCGGGCTCCACGAGGTCCGGGGCAACTCCGCAGAGGTACCCGTCTGCCACTCCCCCGACTCACCGGGCATGTTTCGGCAGTCGGATCTCGACGTAGATCTGCGGCGCTTGCCATGGTGTTGTTCGAAGCCCGATTTCTTAGTTGCTATGCCGGCCTTCTCGTTCCCTATGTTGCATATGTATGCTTTCAGTGTTTCAGACGTTTTAGATGTATGTTGCAGTTGTTTCATCTTGATGTTGCAAAAATAGATCGGGGGATGTTGCACATGTTGCATATGTTGCAAGTGTTTCATAAGCATGTTGCAAGCGTTTGTTTAAAATGTTTTATTTTATCTGTTTCCAGACATATGTTACAATTGTTTTTTTATGTTGCATATGTTTCTTACATATGTTGCAACAATATGTTTTAAATGTTTCAGCTATTTCAGTCTTATGTTGCAGCAAGTGGTTTCATGTTGCAAGTTGCATTTTTGGATGTTTCATGTGTTTCACACACATGTTGCAAGTGTATGTTTCAAATGTTTCATTTATTTTCAAACGTATATTGCATTCAAATGGCTTTCATTTTGCAAGTATTTTATGTTGTTCGGCCGGGGACGAGCCGAGGGCGAGCGGACTGGGCGTGCGACGCGCTTGAGGGCCAACGGACGGGGGGCTAGGGGCCGGTGGACTGTGGTGCTACAGTCTAGGCACTCTTGGGGCGTGCTCGTCCTTAGCTGCTCATGGCGGCTCCTGAGTGCCGCCCGCGTGGAAAGAGAGGAGGGGGTCAGGGGCGACCAGTGCGCGTGTAGGGCGGGGCGAAGGCGAACAGGTCGGAGTGATGGTGAACAGGGGCAGGCTGTGCGGGCGTCCAGACGTGCGCATCTGTCCGGACGTCCAGACGCTAGCCATGACCATTATTTTACTCCTTAAAATGAGAATTGCATTCTTCTTATGACGTTATAAATATCAACCACCAATACGTATATCGACTTCGATGTTTCGTGGACCTGTTAGAAATTTTAATAGTATACATGTACAGGGTCTGCATTATTGACCTAACGTATCCTAAAAGAGAGCTGTCAAATACACGAGGCCGACGTATGAGTGGAGAAAGTGCCCATATATTCGATTAGGTACTCGATTGCTTATGTGTATGAAAAGCGAGTGATACCTAACTTACAATCGAGTTATCGGGTATGCATCCTCAACTTGTAAGCAGCTCGATATCGTGTTCAATCGTGTGTGTCATGTGTAAAGATGGCAACGGGGAATTCCCCGTCGGGTTTTGCCTCCCCATCCCCGTCCCCGCGGGGGAGAAATTTCCCCGTCCCCGTCCCCGCCAAGGCTCGCAGGGGACGATCTCTCCCCATCCCCGAACCCGAGCGGGGAAACATCCCCGACGGGGTCCCCGTCCCCGCTATACAAAGATCTATAGTACTCAAATCAATTATACAGAAGAAGAAATGTCGACCATAGAACGCATCTTGCAACAAGAAATAAGATACTTAGTTTAGAGACCGGCACACTTGCTTACAAAATTTGCAAAGAAATCGCACACAAGATCTCACAAATCCATTAAATCCACTCATGCTTGTGTCAGGATGAAAAGTAGACACAAGATGACAAGAGCCACCTGCTGCTGTCCACTATCAAGAATTCAAGATGAGAAATAGGAGACGCAAGATCCATCTTTCCTACAAATTGAAGCACCGAGCAGTAGACTGTAGACGCCACCTGCTGCTGCTGGTGTGGCTGGTCTCCTGCATCGGGACCGTGGCCACGGTCTGGTCGGGCCGCTGGGAGCACCGAGCCTGCCACGAGCCAAGGAGGGGGGTGGGGAGATGGCCGGCGTAGACTCACGGTGGCGCTCCGCATGGCGCGAATAAGTCGAAGCTACTGGTGGCGGCGCGCCTGGTGCTCTAGCGGCTGTGGGAGTGGTTGAGGTGGACAAGGAGGCTGGGAAGTCGAGGGATTAGGGTTAGATTTTGTATATATACTTGAACCGCTGCTGGGCCTTTGTGGGCCAATTTGAACGGACCTGAAGCCTGCGATTGCGACACTTCTATATGCTCTAAGTGGGGCGGGTTTGCGGGGATCGGGTTCGGAGGATGGATCCCCATCCCTGTCCCCGCCAGCCCTGACGGGGATTGTTTTCCTACCATTTGGATCCCCGTGGGGGAGAAATTGGCCCCGTCCCCGTCCCCTGATAGAGGAATTCCCCGCGGGGAATCGGGGATCGGGGCCCGTTGCCATCTTTAGTCATGCGTCCCATCATATATACTGTATGTCATTGACCCGCTCAAGAAGAACGCATGGCTACCGTGTGTAAGGGAATTTGATTGGGCCTGGAGAGGGTCGTAAATTAAATTAATATACGTACGTCATTTCTTTTTCATATTGTATCCATGACTAATAATTGAGTGTAATCAAGTTGTATGCGGAGCAAAGGAGAAGAAAATAGTACTAGAGATATAAATTGACTTCACTGTTTTGGACACTCTCACCCTGTTCGTTTATGCTGAAATTTGGCTTATGCTGAAATATTGTGAGAGTAAAACATTCAGGGCGTTTATGTTTTTATTTCATATTTACTAAGGGCATGTTTGGTTCCCTGATAAATTTTAGGGGGTGTTTGGTTCCCATGGACTAAAACATTTTGGACTAAAATATACACTTTTGTTGGACTAAATAGTCAAATACTTGGACTAGTCCTTTAGTCCACAAAACTGAACTAAAATGTGTTGGGGACACCCATGTCCCTCATTTATTGCCCTCTCTCTCTCCCACCCAGCTAAAAGGGAAAAAAATTGGATGGACGATGGGTCCATTGCATCTCGCGTGCGACCCCTGGCTGATAGACGCCGCGTGTACGGATACTCCATCAGACGGCAGCTCTGCAGGATCGTTCGACTGAAGAAAAACCAGAGGCTCGGCTTCAAATTGGCTCGGCTCCACGGAGTCTTGTCTTCTCACGTACGAGACATGCAAACAGATCGAGCCGTAACTAGTGCGGTTGTTGCACGCCGCCGTGGCGCCGTCGTCGCTTCCATGAATGAAGCAGCCTCCATGGCAGGCGTTGGAGGTCAGGTGGGCGCTCCTTCTCGTGGCGCGTTCGGCGTTCTTTGTCTTTGCCGCGGCTGCGGCGGCAGGCTGCTATCGCTATCGGCCGGCGCCGGCGCCGCCGACTCATGAGATGTGTGCAGTCTCCACGTTGGTAGCCAGGTGGCCGCGGCTGCTCGTGGCCAACTTGGACGACCTGCGGCTGCGCGGCACGGACGCGAGCCCGCCATTGCCTCCGCCTTGGCAGCCGTCTCCGTCGTCGGGTAGCGTCTACCCAATAAACTACGGAGAAGCCCGCCTGAGCCTAGGAGCCGCGGTGGAGCCGAGGGGAGCCAATGACGGGCGCCTCTTGCGCTGGCCGTTTGATTAGAACCGGTGCCACGCGGCGTCCATCAGCCAGGGGGTCGCACACGAGATGCAGTGAACCCATCGCCCACCTAATTTTCTTCCACTAAAAGGATGAGTAAAAGGGTCTTTCTTCCACATCATTTAATGACTTTAGTCCATTTTAGTTCAAGGAACCAAACACCATTTTAGTTTATTTTTAGTTCATGGACTAAAGTAGACTAAAACCTTAGTCCATGGACTAGAGAACCAAACAGGGCCTTAGTTGCTAAACTTTAATCACTTTATTAGCTAAACTTCCAAACAAACTGACTAAAAAGTGACTAAAATAGTAGCTAAACTTTAGTCACCCAAGAGTAGCTAAAAGTAGGCTAAAGTGCTCAATTGACAAGTGCTGCCCCTCATTATTACTGATCCACCACCCTATTTTGGTCATTCATTAGGGGTAGCTTGGTCTTTGTTGAACTGCTTTAATGACCTTTAATCACTTTTAGTCAGGAAACCAAACGGGAGTGGCTAAAGTTTAGTCACTAGTTTTAGTAGCTAAAATTTAGTCAAGGAGAACCAAAATGGCCCTAAGAGGAAAATGCAACCAGGGTTCTTAAGGCTCTGCTTACCAAAGCTCCAGCTCCAAGAAATCCATTGTATTCTTATAGCTTTAAAAAAGAAATATGCCAATACTATAATCGCATCTATCTAAGTTTAAGTAGAAGTTCCGCACATATAACTTCACTTGTATAAAAAAATTGCAAAAACGTCCTTGCTTTCCTATTTGCTTTCTTGTGTTGTGCGTGAATGAAAGAAACATATAAAGAAAAGTGACGGTTTGAGCGGTGCAGTGTAGTCAAGTGAGATCCACATGGGGAGCAAGTGTGAAACACACCATCCACAACGCACGCTACGCTACTCCACTACCTCAACCTCAAGTCTCGGCGGCCCCATTGCCGCGTCCACCATACGTGCTCCTCTTCCTCCTACCACCAAGAAACCACCGGTCCACTGGCCACAGCTATATATACCCCCAACCTCCTTCCCGCCATTATCCACCACAAGCAGCATATATTGAGCACCATAAAGAACTTCGATTTCACAATAACAATTCATTGCTCGTCTCGTGCGTAGATGGATCGCCAGAGCGCGATATCGATACAGAGCAATGGTGCCAACGCCGGTGCTGCCGTGCAAGAGTGGCTTTACCCTGGCGGCTGGCAGCCGGAGCCGGTCGTCGTCGACGGCACGTTCCACATGGAGCTGCTGGAGGACGCGCCGGTGGCGGACCAGCCGCCGGAGGACGTCGACCGGCTGAGCCACGTCATCCGGTCCCTGGAGGCTGAGATCGCCGGAGGAGGTTGGCCGCCGGCGTCGTACGTGGCAGACGGTGGGGGCACGGCGGATCACGTGCCGGGAGAAGTCTCTAGCGGCGGGCTCGAGGAGTACCTGCTGCTGCCGGACCTTGATGGCATCCCCGGCCCGTGCGTGGCCGAAGCGCCGTTGGAATTCTGGACGGAGGTGCCGCCGGCGGTGGTGGGGCATGATATGGGCGGCTGGCACGTCGACAGCGACGGCGACGGCGTCATGGTCGGGTACGAGTTCAGAGAGCAGTGCTATTACGGCTACAGCGAGAGCCCACACGTTGAGCAAGTGTACAGCCCCTTGTGGGAATGAATGATAAAAAATCTGTGAAAAGAAATATAACCATATGAATTCAAGAAGGCGAATAAATCTTATACCTAGAGCTTTCTTCTAGTTCATCACTATAAAGTCTTAACCACAAGCCCATGACTAGAGCTAATTTTGCACATACTATCAGTAGCAGCCTTATTTCTTTTTATTTATTTCTTAATCGTTTACGAGGTTCCATAGTAGGAGTACTTACTTTAGAATTTTAGTAAAAGTGTACAACATGCAATTTTTATATATGAATTGCCAGAGTTATTATAGTACTTCACATTAAAGAAAACACGAGTTTTCTATTTTTCTAGTAATTCTGATCTAGTTTTACTCCCTCTGTTCACAAATAAGTTTTCTTTCTGTTTGCTCGTAGTCAACGGCTCTATATTTTGGTCACAAAATTAACTTTTATATGTGAATATTTGAAAAGAATTTGAATATATTGTCACAAAACTTCCAATACTGTGTTGGTTAGAAATTATAAAAGTACAGTTCAAAAAAATTATAAAAGCCAAAGTAAAAAGACTATCAAGCAAGTTCATAGTGTTTGTTAGAAAGTAGGGAGCGAGATAAAGCGAGTAATGCAAATGATTCTGTGTTGTATTCCTAATAAACAATGTCTACATATATATACAGGGTCCATGCGCGCGGTTACAGGTGTCAAAGAGAGAGGGGTGAAAAGACACATCTTGGATTAATCCCTAATCGATCACTAAATAATAATTCTCAACACTACCCCTTGATCAATTAGCTTTTTATAGTATTTACTGTTCATCAATTATGCATCATTATTAATCTTTGGAAAACCCTGTGGGAAAAACCAAAATAATACCGGCATAACAGGCAAAGCTCCTTAAAACCCAGTGGAAAAAACAAGGAGAAAACACCATGATATACAATCATCAATGTTATTAGACCCTTTGAGATAAACCCAAAGCCTTAGTCTAAAAACACCTCGACCATAGGGTCAATATGCTTCAGATATCATCTTCCAAAAACCCCGGTGGAAAAAAATAGATGATATAGATATACCTTTGCGTTGAATATTGCCTCATCAAAAACTTTACATGAGAAACCATAAATGAAAAACTAATATAAAGAAAAGGGTGCAATGCATTATATGTCACAATATCACCCTCCAAAAACCTCCGTGGGAAAGATGGTTCTATTTCATAAGTAATATGGGCATACGAACACTTGCAAACTAAGTCTCGTGATAATCGTGCAGGGATATTCACATAATCTACCATGCCTCTGTTCTTGATTGCGGTGAAGGCTGCCAACATTCAGTTCTTGCTATGGAGGCCGATTCTTCCTTCCCCGTCATTTCTTGCAGTGGAGGCAGCGACGCCGACGAACTTTGTCTCCAGCGAGTCCTCTTCAAACGCCGGCAACTCCTCTGGCGAATTGTTCTTCTTTTCGTCAGCGTCAGAGGAAAGGCACGTGTCTGATAACGTGTTAGAAAGTAACGAGCGAAATAAAGCAAGTAATGCAAATGATGTTGTGTTGTATTTCCATTGAACAATGTGTACATATATACAAGTGTTAGAAAGTAAGGAGCGAGATAAAACAAGTAATGCAAATGATAGGTTGGGGTTGAAAAGACATATTTGGATTAATCTCTAATTGATCACTAAATAATAATTCTTCACGTTGTTAAATATGGCACTTAATTTAGGCAAATTTTGCCGCAGAAGATCCAACTTTAATAGAATGGACCAATTCACATCGTCAACATCAAACTATGCTGAGTACCATTATAAAATTATGGATATTTGTAGGGATGAAAATGGTCAGGATATATCCCTTATCGTCCACATTGTTTTCTACATTTGACCCACTCAAAGTTCATATTTTTGGACAAATTTGAAATCGGTACGAAATATGGTATGCCAAATTCGCAAATGGGACAGAAATGGTTTAGGTGTTATCCCGACTGTTTTCTACTTTTTCGGATTTTATTCAGGATATCCCATTTTTAAAATACGGTATATAACCTTAAAAAAATTTATCTTTTTCATACTATATCGGATGAAGATAATTTCTATATGAAAATTGTAGCACTCGATGTGATCTACAATTTTCTAGTTTTAAATTTTTTCATTTGAGGTAGTTAAGATTCTAAAAAAATAAACAAAGTTTTAGCAATTAATTAATCACGTACAAGCGCTTGTCACCTTAGAAAAATTATATCTTTCTTATATGGTGTCAAATGGAGATACTTTTTATATGAAAGTTGTAGCACTTGTTAATTGTTATGCAATTGGTCACGTACTTATTAATTGTTATGCACTTGGTCCTATGGGTCAGTATTTTGTATTGGTTTTTCATATACCGACCGTGTTTAACGTAATTATGCTTGAATTAGTTCGTTTTTGAAATTCTTGAAATTCCATAAGTTCATCTCCGGCTTTACTGCTTTCCCTTTCATTTTGTATTCAAATGTAGAAGTAGAAAATGGTTGAGGGGTTTTCGACTGTTTCTGTCCGTTTTCATCCCAAGTTATTTGCTGTAAGACACCGCACCATTTTTTTTATTCATTTTTTAGTTTTGCAGAGACAGAAGGTAGAGGAAATGTCCTTTTTTGCTCTTATCTTCAACCTCTGGCCAATGCTTGTTCTCGTGCTCTCACCTCTCTAGCGGCTGGCCGCCGCCACCGGACCGAGTCGTCCCATGCACTCCACGAAATAAGATTAGGGCTCAGGTGCCCCATAGGGGTGTCTGGTCCAAGACCACTAGGACTCCATGCACCCCGTTTAGCCCGATTGTCAAACGTTGGGCTTAGCCCCTTGTCGCCATCACGGACTCAACCCGGAAGGCACGAAGGGCTCGGTGCTCCTGACAAGAGTCTAACATAGGGGTATCTTGAGTGATGACAGTCCGAGCATGACTCCAACAGAGCGCATACCTAGGCTATGAATCAACATCCCGAGCCACGGGTAACTTGCCAGGCATCCGAGGCTTGACAGGTATGGAAATGCCATGTCGTCTACCCGTTCAATGGGCGCGAGGCCTTGTCGGCCACTCCTTTGACAGGCCCACGCTACCGGCGTGACCTAACAGGACAAGGGACTTCACCAGCTCTAGGGGCGAACGACTTCGGGGCCCAATCGTCAACCCCTCAAGGCAGGGCTCCTTGCCAACCAAGGAAGCCTCGAGAATTCACCCGGGGAGGCCACGCCGCAGGAGATAGCTCTTGACGGTCAAGATCCAGAATGGTAGCAATGGCGTCAGGGGGCAGTTGCGGCTCTATTGACTCCTCCCTACGTGACATGACAAGGTCCATCCATGCCGTGGCAAGGCACTCATACACCCGATGCATGGGCCATAGACTAGAACTCGAGCTGACTTGTACTCCGACCTTCCTCGGAATATAAGGGGAGGACGACTCCTGTAGAAAGGGGGGACGATTCCCAAGAGAACTAGAGAACTGTAGCTAGAGAAGGTTGGTTTTTTACTCGCTAAGGAACGACACCAATAAACACTATGATAGCACCGAGTGATACCCTACCAAACTCTCTCGATTTCCGTCATTGTAATCCATGATTGGGCATTCCTTAACATGAAGAATACTATACTGCTGGATGTAGGGCCCATAAACCCAAACTAAGATAAATTGTTGTGTCCCTCTCGTGCTTTTGAGTGTCTGAGCCATCGCCAAACCCACACATCGACTTCTGATGGACAACCACGATGCTCGCTGTGGTTACAAACCCATGTCACGCGTCCTCCGCCAGGCAGCATTCTCTGTCGATCAGGAAGCTTTTACCACCGATTTCTTCGCCCTCGCGCTTGCTAGCTATGACGTACTACTCGTAACCTAGTGGATGGAAACACTGGGCCTGATTCTCTATGACATCGACAAGCTCACCATGTCCTTTTGGCACAGAGACCATGAGATCTATTGGCGCAACATCTTCGATGACAAGAGCCCAAGCCTGCATCTCTCTGCTAGGGGCGACCTCATCGACATGCTCCTAGCACACTTTGAGAGGACATCTTCATCAATCCATCCATAGGGGCTTTCGCCACTCTGCTACCATGACTACCACATTCGCCTACTTTTGATAGATATGTCGGTGGCCGTCCTCCCCTACCGTTACCCATCAGCGCACAAGGATGAGCTAGAATGCTAGTGCCGCACCATGCTCACCCAAGGGCATATCCAGCCAAGTTCCTCTAGCTTCTTGTCGCCGGTCTTGCTCATCAAGAAATCTGATGGCTCGTGGCACTTCTGCGTCGACTACCAAGCACTAACTCCATCATCATCAAGGAGGTGTTTCCAATACTAGTGGTCGACGAGCTACGCTTCTTCACCAACATCGACCTATGCTCTGGCTACCACCAGGTCCGTATGAGCTCCATGGACGTCCACAAGACAACATTCTACATGCACTATAAATACGCTAGTTGAAGATGAAAAGGAGGAAGACATTGAAAAGGACCTTGATCTAAATGAGGATGACAGTAGAAGATGAAAAGGAAGAAGACATTGAAACAAACCTTAATTTAAATGAGGCTCCAAATACACTTATTTATTGTACGCCACTGTAAATCAATCAGGAAAAATAAAACCCTGGACAAGCCCATCGAGCCTATCCATAGGCCCGCCGGCCCATCCATGCCACCGGAGCTCGGGCTCCGTCCGTCCACTGCCGCCAACTCCATCCGCATGCTGCCGCCAACTCCGTCCGCCACCGCCATCTACGCCCACACGCCGCTTCACTCCTCGCTAGCTTCGCTCGTGCAGCTCGTATGAATCTCCCAGACCTGGACTGTAGCTGCTGGACCCATAATGGTCGCTACCACCAGATCTGACAACTCATGAGGGAGAGGGTGAGAGAGGTACTAAGAGAAGAGAGAGAAAGAGGGTGAGAGACATACCGTTGCGAGGCCTGGCCGCCACCGCCGCAAGATCGACCATCGCTGGATCCACGATTGTGCCGCCTTGGAGGAGGCCCGCATCGCCCTACATGTGCATCGCCGCGCGGCCC